ACACACACACATATATATAAAAAAAATATATATATATATCTCTCTCAAAAAAAAAAAAATATATATATATATATATATATATATATATATATATATATATATATATATATATATATATATATATACACACACACACACACACACACACACACTAACTCTATACTATATATATATATATATATATATATATATATATATATATATATATATATATATATATATATATATATATATATATATATATATATATATATATATATATATATATATAAATATAATCATCTTGCTGTTGATGATAATGTCTTGCTGTTTGTGCAATTTATTCTGTTCAAGTTTATTTAAAAATAAGTTTGTCTTTATACCTCTGCAATTTTATATTTATATATTTTTTTGTTTATTATTATTTTAATGTTCTATTAAAAATGTTTCTAGATTGTTTTTTCAGATTTCGGCAGTTCTTTTTACAATTTTGACTTGTACATTTTACGGTTTGTCTTCGGTATTTGTAAGATGTTTCTAGAAATATCTTAAATTGGTTTTTATATTCAGGTTTATATCAAATTTAGCTGTTTTAAGATGTGTCTTGTACAATTTTTTCAATTGACATTCTTGTGCACTACAAAATTATTTATTTTAGTACTATTTTTTATTTTTGCAATCAATAAACATTTATCATTCATTTATTTTGCTCTTTTTTAAAATTATTTTCGTTATTTGATTATTTTCGTTATCGGATATGTATATAGGTTAATAAAGGTTGATAAAGATAAAGGTTGAACGCAGTGCACTTTGTGTTTACATTATAGCCTGCGTTTGCTGTTATATAAATTCAAATGGTTGTAATACCATGTATCAAGTACCAATTTAATACTAATACCAAAAGGTTTTATATCAAGGTGAATAAAGATTGAGTCGCGCCAGCTCCGGGCCGCAGCGCACATTACTCTCGGGCTGATTCTGGCTCGGATGCGGCAGTGTCAGCTCGCTTACGGCCGCCGCATCTGGACCAAGTGTATTTTGCTGTCTGGGTTCACTCAAAAAAATTACTTTTGCTGCTTGTCCAAACTACTTACTTAAAATGAGTTGAAACAACGCAAGTCCTATGTTTTTTGGGGCGACTCAATTGTTTCATGTTCAATTTACTTGAATTTGTCAAACGGTTACATTAATCAAATGTGCGCTCCAAACTTTTTCTTGATTGAGACACGTTAAATTCCTCTTTCGTCATTTGCAATGTTTACAAGTTGCATTATTTGTAATTTTTCTCACCAAGTTTTATATCTGTGTTATATTATTTTCTGTTCATCATTCCGAAGATGATCATTTAGAAGAATACGATCAAGACAAATGGGTGACCGCAAACCTAAGGTCGCATCTACGGTATACAGTTTCTGAATGGTTTAGGCACAAGCCAACAGTTTGGTGACGCTGTCTGAGCCTTACGTCATATTTTTTTTAAATTATGCACGGTAATACCGGATACTGAGGTAAAATAGGAAGGTTTGATGGTATCAAAATGTGGATACCGCCCAAGCCTATTTCACAGTCATTTAAATAGTGCTAATGTTGTTCTGAAGTTATGCTTGCATTCTATTTCAGACCAAATATTCAAAGTAGCATTGTAAACAATATAAAGACCGTGTCACAAGTTGTAGTTGAATTTAAGTGTAAATATAAAGCCAACTTTACCTCAGTTTTGAATATTGGGTCTAGTTAAGTGGCGGATTTGTGTGCTTTTGGAAGCTTCAAAACAAAAGTCACTATCCAAACTATTATATACAGCATAGGAATCTTCTCCAACTGTGTTCATCTGGCAGAATAAAGTCATATACAAAGAGTCTATAGCTTGAAAGTGAGTAAATTATGCTAAAGTTTGGACAATCTGTTTCTTTAAGCGAAGTATGAAGAACAGACCTCTGGTGCTCATTGTAAGATACTTTGAGCTCATCTGCAGTTCATTGATGATTTTCCAGCAACACTTTGATGATGTTTTCTATGCATCTAGTCTTTAAAATGTGATTCATTAACCATGAGTGAATGTCATGCATGGAGAAAAACCGATGCATTCATTCAAGACTAAAATTTAAAAAGTTGTATAAGAATATACTATTATAGGAATATGTTGATTAATAGAGGTGATCGTAAAAATATGAAAAATGTCTAAAAATATATTATTAAAGGAATATGCTGATGAATAGAGGTGATTTGTAAAAAAAGAAATACGTTAAAGAAGTAATAGACGAATGATGTGTGTGGTAACAGGGCGGGAAAATAATAAGCTTTTGCTTAATCCCAGTCCATTTTGACCATTGTGAAATGTATTTTGTTTAAAGAAATGTTTTAAGTGTATGATTTTTTTTGTTTTAATTAAATAAATAAATCAAATCAAGATGCTGTTTTATTGACGAAGATAAAACGACATATCCATGGATATAATTTGCCTATGAAGTTGTTTTTCAACAAAATGTGAAATGTTGAAAATCAACTTCTGTAATTAATTTGTTATGATGTAATGTAACAAGGCTGCATGATATTGGAAAAGTCGTACAATGCAGAATTAACATTTTTCTACGATATATATATATATATATATATATATATATATATATATATATATATATATATATATATATATATATATATATATATATATATATATATATATATATATATATATATATATATATATATATATATATATATATATATATATATATATATATATATATATATATATATATATATATATATATATATATATATATATATATATATATATATATATATATATATATATATATATATATATATATATATATATATATATATATATATATATATATATATATATATATATATATATATATATATATATATATATATATAAATATATATTTATATTTATATATATATATATATATATATATAAAAAAAAAATATATATATATATATATATATATA